GAACATCTACGCTTGGGGAGTAGTCCTGTCAATCAAGTGAGGTGCCCATGGCCAGCAATCTTTTGCTCTATGTGTCTGAAAACAGATTTTCTGGTTACTGACCCCTGGGCTCTTAGGAGGAGAAAAGCTTTAGTTCTCTGCCCCAGCCTACTGTCTAGCCCTTCAGAGACCATGATCTCCTTCCTTACTCTAAGGGATAGGCACTCCATTCTCAGTTCAGATTGAGCCCGTGGGCCTTGATCCATCCTCCTTGTCATCCTAGGAGACACCCTCCTTGCCATCCGGGCCCCATCGGGCACCAGCCTGGAGGTGCCCATCCCAGAGGTGGGTGCTCAGCCCAGCCATGCAGGGTTGGTTGAGGGCGGGTGCTGGCTGTGGAGCCCGATAACTCCCGGGTGGGGCAGGTAGGGGGAGGCCTGGGGTTTGAGGTTATCTAGGAGAACGGGCAGCCTAGGGTGGGAGAGGACACTGGCCCTTGCCCAGGGTCAGGCAGGAGCCAAGCCTGCTTCCAATTCCATCTGTCCTCCACCCCACACCCTCACCGGTAGGGCCTCAATGGGCAGAAGAAGTACCAGATTCACCTGAAGAGCATAAGTGGCCCCATCGAGGTGCTGCTGGTGAACAAGGAGGCATGGAGCTCACCACCTGTGGCGGTGCCTGTGCCGCCACCCGAAGATCTGCTCCAGAGCCCACCTGCTGTCTCTACCCCTCCGCCTCTGCCCAAGCCTGCTCTGGTCCCGCCCCAGGATGCCTCACGCCCAAGCAGTCCCCAGGTGACCACCCCCAACCCTGTTCCCGGCAGCACCGAAGCCCAGGGGGTGGCCGGTCCAGCCGCTGAGCTCACAGGTGAGGCACAATGGCCATGTGGTGATGGGGTGATTTCTGGGCCCCTAGAGGCAATACCTCTGTGTGATGGAATGCCGTACTCAAGAGTGGAAGGGACCCTGTGGCGTTCTTTCTCCTGCTCCCCCATCCCGCAGGCCTCTCCTTGCTAACGTAGCAAATGGCCCTTGTTAACAGGGAAGTTTCTGACTGTGTGAAGGGGCATTAGTGGTGGCAGTTTTCCCCCAGATCCGTCAGTGTCACAGTTGCCCTGGCAGCCCCTCTTGAAGTGTGGTCACAGCGGCCATGTCCATGAGTCTCCCTCCTGCAGGCTTCATGCCCTTGTCTCCTTCAGTGACTAATTTTCACGTTACATTTTTGGGAGTGATGGGCAGTGCCTAACTTTCCTTGGGCCTAGGAACTAGGGCGCTAATCATCCTGGCTGTGGCTTCTAGCACGGCCAGCTTCAATACCCTGCTTCCTGTCCCCAAGTGACTGGGTTTGGGGGATGTGGTTGCAGTGAGTGCTATCCCTGGAACCGATAACAAGGACGGTGGTGAGCTCAGCTCCCTCCCGCTAGGCCTGACAGCACTGGACACCCGGCCACTGCAGTCCTCTGCCCTGTTGGACAGCAGCAGCAGCAGCAGCAGCAGCAATAGCAGTTCATCCGGACCCAACCCTTCTACCTCCTTTGAGCCCATCAAGGCAGACCCCACAGGTGGTGAGTACTTGTCCCCTTGGCAGCAGTGAGAACCCAGCCTCAGACAGTCCTAGGTCAGAAACAGAGTTGGGCTTGGAACTTAACCCTCCTATCTCCTCAGCCAAAGCTGGCCAGCCCCCTGCCATCAACCAGAGTTCTGCCAGCCAAGGTGAGGATCCTGGCCTCTGGCTTGGTGCTGGTGCCCCTTTGCCCCCTTCCTGGGCTGACACAGAACTCCCTGGCCCTCCCTCAAGCTGTGCCTGCCACCCCTTGGACCCTGGTCTCAGGAAGGTGTGAATGCTCTCCTGGGGAACGGGCTGTGGTATGGCCCTCAGGCTCCAAAGGTGGGCAGTATGTTCTTAGGAGAGGTGGTGTCATCTGTCTGGTGTCTCCTCTCCATCTTGTGACTTGAGTGTTTGCTTTTTCCAGGACTCATTCTCCTCGGCCCTCAAGCACTGCTGAGTCTCTCCTCGTTAAATGACACTTCATCCCCTGTGTCTCTCTCTCTCTTCTTCCCTATATCCTCTGTGTTTGGACTCCTTGATAAAGTTATCTCCATTCTACTCCATACCCTGGTCTCCTAGTCAGCCTTCAGGTTGCGGCAGTCAGGACCCCAGACCCCCACCCCATGCTACACCAGTGCTAGTCTTGATAAGTTGCCCAGCTCTGCCAGCCAGCTCCAGCAGGGTTCTGGCCAATTTGCTCTGGTGCTCTCTTGCTCTGTGTTGATGCTCTTTTTTCTCCTTTGGCGTTAATGATGTCAGCGCTGGCTCTTCTCCCTTAATTGGCTTCTTCTTCTGACCTCTCCCTGGCATTCCTTTAAATCTGGTTTCCCAGATCTCTGGCTCATTCCACACCTGTGGAGGGCCCCAGTTCTGGGTAGATGAATCCCAGCCTCTATCTGGCCTAGGCCTTTTGCCTGAACTTTGCCTCTTGTGTCCACGTGCCTTCCTCTGCACATCCAGTGGGCACTTCATTCCCATGTGTCCTCAACTGAAACTTGGATTTCCACCTTTGTGCATACCCGACCACCGGCCCTAGTCACCCAGGCCTGACACCTGGGGTCAACTCCCGCTCTAGCTCCTTCTCCCTCCTCCTCCCTCCTCCTCCCGCTCCCTACCCCACATCAGCTTAGTGAGTTCTCTTGCAGACATCCCCTGTGGATGGCCTCATGTATCCTAACACTCAGGATCACTGCCAGCCACCTCTATCCTAAGTTCTTGAGCATCTTCTTCACCCCGACTGACAAGAATCTGTTTGAAACACAGCCTGACTGGCATTTCTCTGTTTACAAAATTACCTTTAACAGCTCCCAAAGGTCTGCTGGATAAAACCAGAGCCCCTAAACCTGGCATATGAAATCCCTCGTGATCCAGCTCCAGCACTCCTTTCCTCTGTTTCCCATGTGTGTCCTCCTGGTTAGACCTTTGTAGCAGTGTCATCACCCTGTAGCACTATCCCCTATTTAAGAGTGCCTCCTCCTCTGCCAGGTGACTGGCCTGGGCTGTGGTCTCTGAGCCTGGCACCAGGTAGGTGCTTAGCAAGGGCAGGGATGGACAGGACATCCTCTGTCAGACAGGGCATCCTGCATCAGACAGAGTATCCTCCATCAGACAGGATATGTACTCTGAGCCTAGAAATGGAGAGGGTGTGCTGCCCTTCTGCCAAACCACTGAGTTAGAAGGGCTGTACCGATTACCCACAGTGGTCCTTTGGCACAGAGGAATTCAGGTCTGGTAGGGGAGACTTGCAGACAGTGCCAGCTTGGTCTGGTGCAGGGCCTACATCTCAGCTGTATGGAGCCCCTGGGTAGGTGATAAAGGATCTGGGGAAGTGGGGGCTAGAGTGGGACCAGGCTGGATCTCTGTGCCCTTGAGCATGGCTTTCTTGTCTTTCAGTTCTGGAGCTCCCCAAAGAGCTGTCAGAAATCTTTGATCCCACTCGAGGTAGGGCTGTGTTCTTCCCTGGGGCTGGGGTGAGGGGCACAGCTCATTGGGTGTTAGGGCCGTTTTCTTGCCCTTCTGAGGACCTTATGGTTGTGCCCAGTACCTGGGCAAGGGGTAAAGTTCCTGATGGGTGGCTGGGTGGTCCCCTTCATGGGCTTTGGTGGGTGGAGAGGCAGGAGCCAGAATGTAACTGAGCTCTCCCTCCATCCCCAGAGTGCATGAGCTCAGAGCTCTTGGAGGAGCTGATGTCCTCAGAAGGTAGGTGGCCCAGGCAGGTGGGGGGCAAGTGTGTGTGGGCAGTGTTTGGGTGGCTGCTGGGTGGGGTCTTGGCCCTGGGGCTTCAGCCTGTTGCTCTCTGCAGTGTTTGCACCCCTCCTCCGCCTTTCTCCACCCCCTGGAGACCACGATTACATCTACAACCTGGATGAGAGTGAAGGTGTCTGTGACCTCTTTGATGTGCCTGTTCTCAACCTCTGACTGACAGGGGCATGCCCTTTGTGGCTGGGACACAGACTGTCTAACCTGGGGGCTGCCTGGGGACCTCCCCCCACCCCACCCCCTACACAGCTTGAGAGCCGTAGACTCCTGGCTTCCCCAGCCTTCCCTCACTGCACAGTTCTGGCCACAAGTCCCACTCCTGCACCAACACCTGTTCTGTGCTGGGAGAGCAGGGGAAAGGGGCTTAGCCCTCTCCACTGTGGAGCTAAAGTGTTTGCCACTCCTTTTTGGAGGCCTTCCCCTACCTGGTAGCCTTCCCCGGCCCTCCCAGAGTTCAGTTTCAGCTGCCACCCAGTGGCACAGATCCAAGGACCCTCCATCACCCTCCTTAGGGCAGCGCGTCCAGCCCCACTGCCCTGTACCTGCCAGCCCCTCCCCCTCCAGGAGGAAGCATGGGGTGGGGCTGGGCACTTGCCAGCACCTAGCCTAGCCTCCTTCACTTCTCCCCACGCGGATCACACAGCTCCTTCTGTACTGCTTGTGTGCCCCCTTTCTGCTGTACCCTTGGCCCTGAGAACCTGTTGGGGCGGGCAGGTTGCTAACAGGAGGAATGGAGATCTCTAGCTAGGAATCTGGTCAGGAGAGTCCCTGAGGATTGGCCCGGCCTCCCTCTGCCCCACAGTCCCCCTCTTGTTTATTCATTTATCCTCATTTAGAGCCATTTGCAGAGATTTAGAAAGATTTGCAGTAACAAATGGATTCCTATATAAAGATTATTTTTATACTTTTTGCAACAAAAGGAAATTGTAATATTTGTACAGTGTCCAAATGAATAAAGACCATGCCTAAGGCTGTCTTTGATCTGGTTCTTTCAGGGATCCTCCCTGGGACTGTGCTGGATTGGTGGTGGGAACGGGCGGGTCAACTTTCTGGAAAAGGTGTGGTGGTGCTGACAGCCCGCCCTCCCCACCCCCACCTGCCGCACCTTGGGGCGGGGCGGGGCCGCCTCTGCGGGGCGGGGCGGGGCGGGGCAGGCACCCTCCTACCCTCCTACCCCTGGGACTCCAAACCGGAACTAGCCTCGGCTCTGGCTCCCTTGGGAAGGCCGCGGCGCCTTGTCGGGAGTGGGAGCCTGGGCTGTGAGTGCGGGCCACGGGAACCAAGTCTCGGGCAGAGGAACACCTTAGTCCTCAGGGGCCTCAGACCAGGTGTGCCCTCGGCGGGAAGTTGCACATCTGGAAAGTACAGAGGCCCCCACCTCGGGTAGACTATGGTGCCGCCGCGGAATGTAGTGAAGATCGCCGTCCAGATGCGCGACGCCATCCCGCAGCTCATCCAGCTGGACCAGGTCACCCGGACTGTCTGGCCTCCGTCCACCCCACCACCTAGTTCCGGGTCGCCCCTTTCCCCTCGAATAGCCCACCCCCCCTCCCCCGGGCTCCTCCCCAACTCCCACTCCCATCCGGTGAGTGACTGTTCCACTTGTAGGCGAAACCCCTGGCCGCTGTGCTGAAGGAGGTGTGCGACGCGTGAGTGCGGGTCTGCCGGGGCACGCCGGGTGGCTGGTGGGAGGGCAGGAGGGAGAGGGCGCCCCCTACCCGCCTCGCTGAGCCTCTGCTGCCCGCAGGTGGAGCTTGCCTCACTCTGAGCGCTATGCCCTACAGTTTGCTGATGGGCACAGGAGATACATCACTGAGAACGTGAGTCCCCTCCCCGCCCCACATTCCACTCTGTGACCCCTTTAACCCACCTGGCTCTGACTCAGAGTCATCGTCCCACTCTCTGGAACCTGATCTTTCTTTTACTGACTCCCAAATCCTCCCTTATTGACAACCCCAATTAACCAATCCTCAGAGCCCTTCTTGACTTCTCTTCATTTTCTGCCATCTTTTCCAGAACCGCACGGAGATCAAGAATGGCAGCATCCTGTGCCTCAGTACTGCCCCAGTAATGTCCCTCCTGACCATGCCTTCATTCTGTGCCCCTCTGCTATGCCTCTTCTCGGCCCGCCACTGGCACCTGGGCCCTAGATCTGGAGGCCCCAGCCCTAGTCCCAGCTCCAGCCCAGTAGTGCCCCACCTAGTGGACACCCAAGTCCCCACATCCCCAGTTCCCACTCCTTACCTCCTCACCTCTGTTCTTGCTCCCACCCGTGGCAGGACCTTGAGGCTGAGCGGTTGTTGCGTGGGCTGCAGAGCGAGAGTTGTGAAGGGCGCCGGGAAGCCCTTCAGCACCTCGTCCTGCTGGCCCCAGACATGACCTTCACCCGGGAAGTCATCAGCCGTGATGGGCTTCAGAGACTAGGCTCCATCATTGAGGATGGGGATGAGTGAGCACAGGGCTGTGGTGGGTGGTGGACATGGTGGGGCTGGGCGTCCTGGTCTGGTCCTCTCAGCCCCACATGTCTCCCCAGCCTAGGAGAGGTGCTGGCCCTCGCACTGAGGGCCTTCTTGGAGCTCATGGAGCATGGTGTGGTGTCCTGGGAGACGCTCAGCATCCCCTTTGTTAGGAAGGTGGGTGGGCTTTTCTAGGGGTAACAGGTGGGGGCAGTGGAGTGGTGTCAGGGTCTGCCCTTCCATGGTGCTGAGGTGGTGACAACCCCTGCTCCTCTAAAGGTGGTGTGCTATGTGAACATGAACCTCATGGATGCATCTGTGCAGCCCCTGGCCATGGGGTTGCTGGAGAGTGTGACCTTGAGCAGCCCTGCCCTGGGCCAGCTGGTCAAGAGTGAGGTGCCACTGGATAGGCTGTTGGTGCACCTACAGGTGTAAGTGTCTGGAGGTGGGGTACAGATGAGTGGAGTGGGGCTGGACCCTGGATGGCCGGCTGAGCCCTCTTCCTGTCTCAGGATGAACCAGCAGCTGCAAACCAAGGCCATGGCACTGCTGACAGCTTTGCTGCAGGGGGCCAGCGCTGCTGAACGTAAGGTGGGTGTCCAACCAGTGGCTGGATTGATGGGGGGAGGAGCTGGTGGGCAGTGTGCTCCACAGTGGGCCTGCAGGATGGGTGCTCATGGTGGGGCTAAATCACCTGAGTCCCCTTCCCACCCACCTCAGCACATGCTTGACTACCTGTGGCAGAGAAACCTTCGCCAGTTCATCTACAAGGTAGGAAGGACCAGGCCAGGCAGACCCTTCCCCGCTCCTCTCCTCGTGGCCCACACTCACACCCGTGAACTGGCTGTTCTCCAGAACATCATCCATAGTGCAGCGCCACTGGGCGACGAGATGGCTCACCACTTGTACGTACTGCAGGCCCTTACACTGGGGCTGCTGGAGCCACGCATGCGGACGCCACTGGACCCCTACAGCCAGGTAGGTGCCTTTGGGGCACACGAGGCTGGGGACGGCTGGAGTTTGGCCTTGAATTTTCAGTCTTAACACCACTCCAACAATGACCCCAGGAGCAGCGGGAGCAGCTGCAGGCCCTGCGTCAGGCTGCCTTTGAACCAGAGGGGGAGTCCCTGGGCACTGGGCTGAGTGCTGACCGTCGCCGTTCCCTCTGTGCCCGCGAGTTCCGCAAACTGGGCTTCTCTGTGAGTGACCCCTATCCAGCTCCCTGCCCCTGCCTCAACCCAGGGCTGCTGTTGTTAGAGAGGGCTGGGCCCTTCCTCAGCTGTCTCTCCCCCTTCCCCCAGAACAGCAACCCTGCGCAAGACCTGGAGCGCGTGCCCCCTGGCCTGCTGGCCCTGGACAACATGCTCTACTTCTCCAGACACGCGCCCAGCGCCTACAGCCGGGTCAGTGACAGGGTGGGGCGGGCTACGGCAGGATGCCACCGGGGCGGGGGGTCTCCACAGCCTCAGTCATGACTCCCCACCCCGTCCTGTGCTCCTACCACCCCAGTTTGTGTTGGAGAACAGCAGCCGTGAGGACAAGCACGAGTGTCCCTTTGCCCGGAGCAGCATCCAGCTGACTGTGCTGCTGTGTGAACTGCTCCATGTCGGGGAGCCTTGTGAGTGGTACTGGGCACAGCGTGTCCAGGAACGGGGGACGGAAGGGCAGAGAGGGCCAGGGGCTGCACACACTTTCTCCCTGAGCCCCTCCTGCCCCCCCGCTCCAGGCTCCGAAACTGCCCAGGACTTTTCGCCCATGTTCTTTGGCCAAGACCAGAGCTTCCATGAGCTCTTCTGTGTGAGCATCCAGCTGCTGAATAAGACCTGGAAGGAGATGCGGGCCACTCAGGAAGACTTTGACAAGGTGCGTAGGGCGGGAACAGGGAAACCTGGGCCAGGGCAGGGGATTGTTCTGGGTCGGGGCCCAGAACTCAGGCCCTGAGCTAAGCTTGGGGTGGCCCCAGGTCACGCAAGTGGTGCGGGAGCAGCTGGCCCGCACGCTGGCCCTGAAGCCCAGCTCCCTGGAGCCCTTCCGAACCAAGGTGAACGCACTCACCTACGGGGAGGTCCTGCGCCTGCGGCAGACAGAGCGGCTGCATCAGGAAGGCACGCTGGCCCCTCCCATTCTGTGAGTTGGTGGGGATGGGTCCCAGTCCTAGCCCCCACCTTCCAGGTCGTCCTGTTCAGTGAGCCCCCTCCCCCCCTCCCCCAGGGAGCTGCGGGAGAAGCTGAAGCCAGAGCTCATGGGCCTGATCCGCCAGCAGCGTTTGCTCCGCCTCTGCGAGGGGACACTCTTCCGCAAGATCAGCAGCCGACGGCGCCAGGGTCATTGCATGGGCAGTGGGGCTGGAGAGCGGCTGGGCTGGCGTCAGGGCATGTCCCTCTCATTACTCCTTCCCTCTTACCCTTTCTGCCCACAGACAAGCTGTGGTTCTGCTGCCTGTCCCCCAACCACAAGGTGCTGCAGTATGGGGATGTGGAGGAGGGTGTCGGCCCGCCCGCCCCCGAGAGCCTGCCTGAGCAGCGTAAGGAGGGCAGGGTGGGGGTCAGACACCTGCTCTTCCCAGACCGCCGCCCCACCCCGGGACCGCCTGGGGTCCCAGTGGTCAGCCCTACCTTCTTCCTGCAGTCCCTGTGGCTGACATCAGGGCACTGCTGACAGGCAAGGACTGCCCCCACGTCCGGGAGAAGGGCTCGGGAAAGCAGAACAAGGTGAGTGCAGTGGGGACCAGGGGCTCCTTCCCGCCCGCCCCTGCCCCTGCCCCCTGCTTAGTGCTCCTGGCTCCCTTGCTTCCCCAGGACGTCTGTGAGTTAGCTTTCTCAGTCAGCTATGACCACGGGGAGGAGGAGGCATACCTCAACTTCGTTGCCCCATCCAAACGGGAGGTGAGTGTCCGGGCAGGCTGAGCAGAGTCGGGCAGACGGGCAGGGGAGGAGACGGGAAGGCCCTCATTGAGATGGCCCCATCCCCAGTTCCACCTGTGGACAGATGGGCTGAGCGCCCTGCTGGGCAGTCCCATGGGCAGTGAGCAGACACGGCTGGACCTGGAGCAGCTGCTGACCATGGAAACCAAGCTGCGGTTGCTGGAGCTGGAGAATGTGCCCATCCCTGAGCAGCCACCCCCCATCCCCCCGCCCCCCACCAACTTCAACTTCTGCTACGACTGTAGCATCGCTGAACCTTGACAATGAGGTTGGCCAAGGGCCACAGCTGCTGCCACTGTGGTGGCCACAAAGGGTGGAGGTGGGGAGAAGCACAGGTACCCTGACCAGCAGAGGCTGCAGCAGAAATAAAGTCTGCTTGGCTCTTAGACATGTGTTGAGCCAGCTCTGAACCCTGCAGGCTAAGCCTGCCTTCAAGCTTAGCTGGCAGATAAGATGAGAGTGTCAGGCCAGGGCCACAGCTTGGGGCCACAAACCTGGGCAGCTACAGTTGAGGGACTGGTGTTCTGAAGGACAGTGGGGACCGGCTGGCCCTGTACCCTTCTCCAACGTGAGTCCTCAGCCTCCCTCAGTGCTAGGCCTGCAAAGAAGGATGGCCTGTAGTCTGGGGGCACCAGCTAAGAGAGGTCTGGGGCTGCCAGCCAGCTGAGGGTGAGGTGGTAGGGGAGGAGGCATTTCCCCAAGTGGATGCCTTTCTGGGCACCATTAACAGGGGCCTAGTCTGGGAGCCATGTTTCCAGAAGACTCCTGACAGTCTGAGCTCAGTCCTCAACCCTGCTTGGCCCTTCCCCTGCGTCATTTGTGGGTCGTGACGGCCTCCTGTTGAGAGGCTTGAAGGGAGAGATGTGAAGTTGGGTATGCTTTGTGCTGAAGGGCAAACTCAAGATTCCAAAAGATGTCCCCCAGGCCAGTGGGAGGATGCAGGCTGATTCTGACAAGAGGGAATTTAGTGCAGCAAGCCTGCATTCTGATTAAAACCCAACTGCAGCAGCATGGGTGGGGTGGGGGCCACAGACAGGCCAGCTGGAGGTGAAGCTCGGAGACTATGGTCATAGACCCCAAGCCTCTGAGGCAAAGAGGAGCACACCCACCCACAGGACCCACAGGCAGGCTGGAAGCTGCCAGCCACCACCCTCTGACCTCCTCCATGCCTCTCACTACCTCTCTTTCCCAGTGCCTCCTCAAAATATCTTTTTTAAGTGTTAACCATCACCATGTTACCTAAAAACTGATGATACGACACCTCCTTTGAAGAATGTTCTGGGGGAGTACTTGTTCCCCCTCTCTAGCTATGCTTCTGACTTGGGCATTCAGGGCCCCACATGCCCACTCCTGCATTCAGACTTCCCACCGCACTTAGAATAGTCCCTGTTGAGTTCAAGGTGCAAATGGGGAGCCCAAGTGCAGTTAAGTCTCCTAATACCATCAATTCTTCCTTCTCAGTGTCTCCAGTCCCTTGTTACAGGCCACCATCATCTTGGCAAGAACCTCCTGACTTCCTGCCTCCTGTCTCACCCTTCCAATCTTCTCAATACCAACTACCACACTGCTTTCTCAAACAAGAAGCCGATCTGATTACACACACACACACACACACACACACACACACACACACACACACACTTTGTTATTACAAATAATGCTATAATTAGTAACCTCTTACATATGTTATTTCACATTTGGTGAGAATATATCTGAAGGTTAAATTTAAAGTCCTAGAAGTGGAATTACTGATTTAAAGAGTGCTTTTATAATTTTGAAAGACATTGCCACATTATACTGGTCAGAAGTTGTGTCAATATACTCCACTTTCTGTGGAGAAAGTATATTAAAACATACAATTTTAAGGGAAAAAAAGTAAAATGTAATATTAGACTTTTTTTTTTTTTTTTCTTGCGTTATGCGGGCCTCTCACTGTCGTGGCCTCTCCCATTTGCGGAGCACAGGCTCCGGACGCGCAGGCTCAGTGGCCATGGCTCACGGGCCCAGCCGCTCCGCGGCATGTGGGATCTTCCCGAAACGGGGCACGAACCCGCGTCTCCTGCATCGGCAGGCGGACTCTCAAGCACTGCGCCACCAGGGAAGCCCACGGTACCATGATTGAACAGAATTGAGATGGGTTGCAGACACGTTGTGGTTTAGCCCTTTCAACAGAGTGCTTGTGGCTTACAGAGTCACAAGCATGTGGACCAAGGTTGCTCAGTCCAAGCTGGCATCCTCCCTGCCTGCCATGGGACTGGGACTACCCCTACACCCAGCGCCAGCTCTGGCCTGCCCATGTGCACCTCCCTGGTCCCTTCTGCCTAATTGTCTCCTTCCCTCCCTCCTTTTTTCACTGACTTGAGTCTTTCCTTGACCTCCCAGGCTAAGCTTATAGCTTCTGTCTCTGTTTAGGAGGTTGGACTAGATCTCTAATGACCCTTCCTACCCAGAGATGCTATCCTCTTTAGTGTCTTTTGTGTGTGTGTGTGTGTACTGAAAACAGCCTCACTGACTCAGGCAGCCTTAATCACTGCTCCTGGGATCTGGCTGGGATGAGGGTACACAGACATGCCTTTGCTGCTGGACATGTCCTGGGGCTTGTGCTGGGGAGAGGCCTCTGGAGTCTCCCACCATGTGGGGAAGAAGCTAGGACCTGCTGGGGGCACCTGTAGGGCTTTGGGCCAGGTGTGAGGAAGAAACTGTCCCTCTGGCGTTTCCTACACATCGTCCCTGGGCTGGGCTGCTTCATCTGAGGTGGGGAGGGAAGGGGCCCTTTGGTCTGGGAACTTCGGACAAGGAGGTGAGATCTGGAATTTTTAATCTTGGGTATACAACAAAGACTGTGGCTTGGCTGCTAAAGGTCAGTGCTGGTAGGGGGCTGGGAGAGCTGTGGGGAACAGTACAGGCCTTAGTGTGAGAAGGGGCAGGGCCAGAGGCACAGGGTCTGTTCCTCCCAGCACCAGACCCAGCCCACCTGTGGGCCTGGCCTCTGGACCCAGGCCTGGACAGGAGAGCAGGAGCTGGCATTTCCAGGGGGCTGTGGCAGCGACATGTAGCTGGAAAAGGTTCCTGCTGGGCTGTGGGGCAGACTGGGGCAGGAAGCCCCTTGGGCTGCCCTGATATAGTCCCACCCTTAGTCCTAGAAAAGGGGTTTTTAGCTTGGGGAAGGGGCTCTGGGGCATGTAGCAGAGGGAGGTGGGAGGCACTGAGTCAAACTCCAGGTCAAGAGGCCAGGCCTGGAGCCTCGAGGTGACAGAGGCTGAGCCACAGGGCTGGTTACTGACCTGCCCTCAGAGTGTTAGGGTCAGGTCAGCCCCTCCCACGAAGCGGGACTGGACGCAGGTCACCTCAGGCAGTTGGGCTTGGAAGCGCCTGACGGAAGCCATGCTGATGCCAGGACACATGGCCACATCTGCCAACCGGAGCTGCTTGCACGCCTGCCCAGTGGAACCCAACGTTCTGCAGGGAGGCCACTGGGCGAGCGCTTGATCCGGCACGGGGCCCCAGCCCAGCCCCTACACTGTGCAACACCGGACACACTCACTGCTCCGAGCGCTGACTGCACCTGGACAGGTTGAGGTGCTGCAGCCTTGGCCGGGAGCCGACTGCCTGGACCCAGCCCTCGTCGCTGAGGCGGCTGCAGTGACTCAGCACCAAGCGCTCCACACTGGGGCAGCTTCTGGCCGCAGCCAGCAAGCCCTTGTCTGTGAGTGCTGGCAACAGGCTCAGTGACAGCCGCCTCAGCTGGGGGACCTGGAGCACCTGCGAGGATGGCGGGGGTCAGGTGGTGTGGCGCTGGAGCCCTTCCAGCTTCCCCCACCCCCAGCCAGAGGAATGGCTACGAGCAGCAGAAGCCAATGAGAAATGACTTTTTCCAGGCAAAAAGTGGGTTGGCGCCGACCGCTGGCTTCAGCCCCAGGGCCCTCAGCCTATCCACATCCCCAGCCCCACACCTTGGTCAAACTGGCATCAGCTTGCTGCAGGCCGTGAGGTCCAAGTCCTGTAGGGCCTGCAGCGTGAGTAGGGCGGGCCCTGTGGCAGGGGAGAAGGGTCCTCTTGCGGCTGGAGGCCCGATGCCCAGCTCTCGGCGTGGCTGTGAGAGGAAACCCCTGCTTCCCAGATTCCTCCTGAGTTTGGCCTTCACCTGTTCCCAGAGACAGGCGCAGGAGGGGCAGGAGGGCAGCTGAGCCCAGGGACCGCCCCGCCTGCCATGACCTCGAGGGTCCTGCACCTGCAGCCCCTGCAGAGTCTCCTCACTTGGTTGCCCCAAGCCCAGAAGCCCCCAGTCACGGAGCTCCTTGCACCAGGCCAGGCGCGGGACTGACAGGTAGGTGAGGTAGGTGCAGATGGCCTGCACGGTCCGGTTGGTGAGGGAGCACGCAGGAGGATAAGTCTAGCACCCTGAGGCTTGGGCCCAGCACTGGCATCAGGGAGAGCACTGAGGCATCCTAGGAGGGAAGTGGAAGAGAGAGAGGGCAATGGAGTGGTGGCTTGTGCCTGTGTCACCGGGCTTGGCGGGGGTCACTAGGAAGGTTCTGCCCAAGGTTCCAGCCCCACAGGCAACAGGAAGCTGCCACAGGGTCCACGGAAGGAAGCAACAGTATTCCTGTACTGGTGAGTGTCGGAGTGGACCTGGTGGACTGCAGTGGTGGGACACCAGGAGAAAAGCAAACGCCTAGATTGGCTGGGGCAGGAAGGATGCAGGTGAAAGTTTCTAAGGTGTTTACCCTGCCTGTGCTCCGAGAACCAGTGGTGGACATCTGATTCTCGCTGAGTCAATCAAATATGCTCCCTCTAGGACTGTGAGGTCATAGAGCGGGTAGGGCTGCCACCTACCAGGAGCAGGAACTAAGGGTAGAACAGAGGAAGCTGCTTTGTAGAGGGATGCAGAGACACGAGAAGGTGGGGCCCCAGAGAGAGCAGCTGAGAGACGCACAGTGGTGAAGCCGTGAGGATGGAGTAGGGCAGGGGAAGAGAAGCAAAAGGCTTCTTTTGGAGGAAAAGGCTTTTCAGGCGGGCAATGCTCTGGGCACAGTGCTAGATTGAGGTAATTAATAATCTGCTAAAGAGGAAGAGACTGACACTGCAGGAAGACAGGGACGCCACCCAGAGGGGCAGGGCTGAGCCCTATTGAAGGAACTGGCTTCGGTCAAGAAATGACCCTTCTGCTCCCACGTCACGTTACCTCCCTCAGGCCCTGCCTGAACCATGACTGCTGTGTAACCTCGGTACCCCTTCCCCGCAGGGCTTGGTTCTGTCACCCCTTTCATCAGCCTTCCTGGCCCCCAGAACACCCACCCTCGCTCCCCTCCCCAGACTGCAGTGGTCACAAATCACTTGGCTCGTGAGGTATGTGCCACCTTGTGGGCTGGGCCCCCTGGTCTCCTGGACCTCCCTCTACCTGGACCCACTGTGGGGCTGCGGGGAGGAGTGCTGGCAGCAGCCCTGTCTGTCTAGGCTCCTTTCCTCTTCCCGACTGTGTCCCCAGTTCAGCTCTAACTACTCCTTGGACACAAACACTGGGCGCCTCCCTGGCGCCACGCTCCCAGTTCCCCCAACCCCTGGTCCTGGTGAGGAAGGAAGGAAGGAAGGAAGGGGATTGGACGCTCACCTTGAGGGAGGAGCAGTAGGCCAGGCTGAGGGAGGCCAGTGGGTGTGGAGCTCCGCACACCAAGCCCAGGGCCTGGGCCAACTCTCGCCCTCTCACCAGGCAGCACTCGGCCATGTTGAGGCTCTGCAGCTCCCGCAGGCCCCCTAGGGCTGAGCATCTCGCATCCGTCAGCTGCTGCAGCTTCCTCAGGCTCAGGTGCCACAGGCGCCGCAGGCCCCGGCTCACAGCCAAGAGTGCCCCGTCAGCCAGTTCTGAGCAGCCGCTGAGGTCCAGGAAGGTAAGGCCTGGTTGCTGGTGGCAAAGGGTGGCCACAGCCTGTGGAGAGGTCCCGGCAGCTGTGCAGGCTCAGCTCCTGCAGTTGCAGCCTGGCCACCTGGCCCAGGGCCTGCAGGGCCTCGGATGGCAAGCCAGTGCCACTCAGCCCAGGGCGTGCAGCCTACCAGCCTGCTCCTTCATGAATTGCAGCAGGTTGCGGAAGGAGAGTTGGGAAGGGGAGGAATCCTGGGGGCTGATGGAGCCCCGGGCTGGGCCTGGCTCGAAGGTGAGGTGGCAGTGGGCCAAGGAGAGGCGCTCCAGGCTGAGGACACAACTGCTGAGCTGGTTGAAGCTGAGATCGGTCAGGTCCCGCAGGCTAGCCAGATTGAGCTCACGGAGGCCGCTCAGTGCCTGCTGGACCCACTGTGCTGTCTTGGGCTGAGCTAGCAGCATGCCCGACGTGAAGAGGCTGTTGCAGCCACTGAGGTCAAGAAAACGCAGGGCCGGGCAGCACAGGATCAGGGCCACGAAGGAGGCCTCTGTGGGGCTGCCCCCACCAAGGCACAAGCTCTGCAAGTGCAGGCCCAGGTGGTAGGCAACAGACTGTAGCACCTGGTGTGAAGCCGGCGAGTCATCCAGGTTGGTCAGGCTGATGCAGCAGATGCCCCTGAGACCCACGCTCTTGACGGTCGGAAGGGAGGCAGAGGACACGGGGATGTCCCTTACGTTGTACGGGACAGCAGTGGGCCTGGGGTTAACCCTCTGGTCTCAAGAGTGTGCTGGCCATCGGGTCTGGGGGCAATTCGCTGGCCAGAATTTGAGGGCAGGTCAGGGAAGGGGTTTTCTACAATGGGGACCCACTGTGGTGTGTGGTGTCATGTGTGCTTGAGGGGGTGCTGTTGGGAAGTGGAAGCTGGGAGGATGGGTCTCACTGGGGGTCCAAGGGGATGACTACGAGGGGAGGACAGGAAGGTTAGTGACGGACGGGACTGAATGCCTATGGAGGGCCTGGGCCAGAGTGGGGACTTAGCATGCTGAGTACAGGAGGGCTGGGGGGGGACTTGGAGGAGAGCCAGAGAAGCCCCCCCGGGAGCAGGAGGACAAAGTATGCTGGACCCCAACTTTTGGGACTTTCAGAAGGTGGCCCTGGGACCCATGGACTCGGCTCCAAATCCAGGGCCTCAGCTTGGCCTTAGCTAAGCAGTCAGCCTCCCCCACTTTCGCGAGAGCATATAAATAGCCCTGGTAACAGCTGAGGGCGGGAAGAAGCTATGCAGGTGTTGCTCAGCACAATCCCCTGTGGCCCAGATGCCAGAGATCTGGGGCAGGCAGTTAGGCCGAGGTCCCCTGGTGGCCACACACATTCAGTGTCTCAGCCACATGAATGTTTGCAAAAATGGGTTTTGTGTGTGAGTGAAAACGTGCTCATGCACTGAGTGTGGTGTGCACATGCGTGGGGGCGTGGGCACGCTCACAAGTGTAGGCTCTTCAGGCTCAAGAGTTCAAGACGTGCTTGTGAGCCCTGGGGCTCATCTTTAGAGGGTCTGTCTTATCTGTCCAGGTAAGGAGGGAGAAGTGTCCCATTTCTGTGGGCAGGAGTTCATAGGATGAATTTCAGAGGCAGGGAGGAAGCTGAGTTGGCCCTGCCTTGGAGGAACAGGGGAGCGAGCGCGGGGAGCACACAGTCGGAGTTGGGTGGGGCCGGGAGGCAAGCTCAGGGCTAAGTTGTTGTGGGAAAAAGCTGGCTTGTTTACGAGTTTGGGGAGCCCCCAGTGAGGGAGATGTTTTCGTAGAACCTTCCCTGATCTTGTGCCAGAAGGAGCCAAAGGACAGTAGCTACAGGAATGTGTGGAACTGGTCTGTGGGGGGAGGGAGAAGAGGATTTGGCTTCTAAAATCCTAGCCCCATTTCTCTACCCCTGACAATGCCCAGGTTGCAGGCAAGTGGTACTCAAAGGCTCTTGTTTTCACAAGCAAGCTCCCCAGAAAACCTGTCCTGTGAGTAATGGCAAGAACAAGCTGACATTCCCTGCTTGTTCCCCACAGAACATCATCAAAAGGGAACCAGAAAGGTAGAAGTAACGCCTAATACACACTCCCCGCAAGATACTTATCAACAGGACTCTCCCAGGAAGACGCGTGGAACTCATTCCCAGGTGTGGAGAATCAGCCTGGCTTCTGCCCCAGAGAGAAGCAGCTGACTATGGCTGTCCTCACGGGAAGGAGAAGCGTACGGTAAGAGGCAGACCAGCGGCCGGCGAATTTCACGGGAGTCAGGGTGTCAAACCAGGTTCCCATTTCAGACCCTGTGGTCAGTATGGATGAGAGGAGCTCTCCCCACAGATTCCCCGCGTGGACACTGGGAGACAGTGGGGTAGTGGGGACTCCCGAGGACCTGGGTCCCTCTCTCAGATTTAAGGAGAGCTGGGGAAGATCTCAGTGTGTGAGGTTCGGGAGGGTACCGAAAAGATCAGGGAGAAAAGGTTCTAGAAAGGAAAGGTAAAGCGTGCCTCCAGCCCTTTCAAAGCCCTGCAGTGACGACAGATGAGCCAATCTGATGATGAGTAGAATGAACTCTGGCTGGGGGAGTGCAGAGCGGTGCTGGTTGCCAAGCAGCACCTGCCCCCAATAGTCACATGCCACCCCCGCAGGCCCCAGCTCCAGCAGCCTCCAGTCTTCCTTCTTTCCCTGTCTTCCTGAGCCCTGGCTGCCAGGAAAGTTCTTCCCTCTCCCAACTGCCTTCCTGTGAACAAGGTAGATGAACAGCCCAGCGTCCAAGTGCAGGGCTGGCAGGTGGCAGCAAAAGCTACCCAATAATGGGGCAGGGCCTGGCCTAAAGGACTTCCAGCTATGGGGCCAGGGTGAGATTTTAGACTGCCTCCTTACTCCCCACTGTTTTTCTTGGTGGGGAGGAGGAAGCCTCTAAGCCATCACCGAGGTGGTCTACCTGGGACTCAAATACAGGAGCCCAGGAGCAGCCTGTTAGGGATATTTATCATCTGTGGGGGCAGAGCAGCAGGCTTCTGGGTTCTGGTCCTTGGCCCCAGTGTAGGAAAGTCCCCCTTCCCAGGCCCTAGGAAGATGCTTCTAAAGGCCTAAGGGAGGACTACACAGGTACCTGCTCCAGCTTCAGCCGCCCCATCACAGAGGGGCTGACTAGCCCCCTGGGCTCCTCCCTTCCCAATACCGGCATCTTAAGAGTAAATGCGAAATCATTTGGAAACTGCCCTAAACTTGCTAAAAGCAATACATGTCCCTTGACTGTGAGAGGCCAGGACTCTGTCATAACTACTGAAGTCCTGAGCTGAGATGGCAGGCCTTGAAAAGCCATCTGACGGAGACGTGGCCCTCCTGTCTGCTGGCACAGGAATCCAAAGTTAACACGCCTGTTTTCCAGAAGGCCTTTGAGAAAATTTATGCCCTGGTGCCCAGGGGCTTTGGTCTCCAGAGAGGAGTCAGACCTTGGGGGTCATTTCCAGAGGCGTTATAGATGCCTTGGGCAGGAGAAGGCCACAGGGGATGGGAGCCATCCTGAGTTCCTCAGTGACCAGCCCAGTGGCAGGCAAATAACACCCCCGCCCCGGTACGGACGGAGCCAGGGTGTATTGTTGGGGTGCTGCCTTTGTCTACCTTCTTATTTGAGAAAAATGGAATTAAGTGGGGGCAGGTCAGGGAGAATAAGAAGTCACCAAGTCTAGTATCCTAGCCTGGCCTGGAGCCATATAGGCCCCAGCTTGGCCTTGGTCAGCCAGAATCTTCTGTAGCACCTACTAGCTGGGGCTCCACCTCCTTATCAAGCTGCTGAGCCCTGGGAGATGGTTTCTGCCAACAGGGTTCCGCAGATTGGTCTCTGGGACATGGTGCCGGCAGGGCCCTAGACGCTCAGGTATCTGTGGCCTGGCTTCCCAGCACTCCCAGCCCTGGGGGTGGAGTGGGACACTGAGTTTTGCAGAGGCACCAAACGGGTCTTTGTCAGTGTTCCATCTGGAGTTCAGAGTTAGCTGGAGAAGCCCCGGTGCTAAACTGGTAGCCTCTACGATCCCAGACTCTGACCCTGGCCTCCTCCTTCTCCTCCCTCCCTTACTCCTATCCCAATCTCACCCTCATCCCTGGGGCCTGACTGCCCACTTGGCTTCTTCTATGCTCTCCTTCTTTGCTGGACTTCAAGAGGTCTCCCCCGGATTACCTCTCCTCAGGGTCCTTGTGGCCCTGCCCGTCATGCTGCTGTCTGTGCCCATTCTCCTTGCCCCCTGCCTGGCCAGGGATGATGAGACCGCTGCCTCCTCTGGGTGTGTGCTGGGGATGCAGAATTCTGCCCAAGGAAGCCATGGCCTCCCCTCGTGCCTGCACTGTCAGCACTGGCCTGCCCACTCCCACCTCCTCACTGCCTCCCCCTCTCTTCTCACTCCCCTCAGACTTCTCTCCAAGCCCACTATCTTCTCCAGCCCCTGACGCTACTGTAGCTCCCTCCCCTCACTCCAGCCTTCTCAGAGATGACCTGACCATTTCAAAAAGAAACCAAAGCCCCTTAGGTGGGAAGGCCCTCCCTTTTCCCTGTTCACAGCCACCAGCCCACCCCTGGCAGGACCCATCCTAACCTCCTTCCCTCTCCTGCTCTTTGGCTCAGGGTGACCCCCTTCTCTCGGCCTACTCAACCTGTCCCCCACCCTCTCCTCTGAGAACCCTGCCTTTCCACTGCTCGTTCCCCAGAGTCCACAAACACCCTGGAGTCTTAGCAAAGGCCTCCCTTGATCCTGCACCCCCTCTTCTCACCTTTCACCCCCTCCCCTCCACTGTCAAGCTTCTTGGAAGCACATGGGCGCCCATACCCACTGTGGCCACGTCTTTACCTCTTTACCATGGCTTTGCCCACTTACCCCTCCACCACTGTCCCCACAGAATCACTCATTCCCAGCAACAGCTCCTTTCTGGCAAGATCACCAGCATCTGGGAGCTCCCCTGAAGACTTCCCACAAGTGTCCTCTCTGCCATGCCATGCTGCCTGCTGTGGATGGCCAGTCTCCCCTGATACTCTCTCCCACTGGGGGTTCTGAGACTCTGCCCTCTTGGCTCTCCTACCTTCTAGCCTGCTTTCCAGTCAGGGTCACCAAAGAAGAGAAAGACCCAGTCCGTAGACCAGTGGGTTCTCCATGGGTTGTTCCATTCTAACACACACACCACACACACACACCACACACACACGCGCGCTGTTTCCCTCCACGTGCACCCAGCAGACTTCATCCCATTCCAACTACTTTGTTTTCCACACCTTCTTCCTGAGCACCAGATACTGGGAGCCATGATCTGATGGACCTCTCTCCAGATTCAAGGATGCAATATGCCCAAATCTGAGTTTACTGTCTTATTGCTGGTCTCTGGCCCTTCTCCTAAACTCTCAGTGCCCTCTACCAAATCACCTAAGTCAGAAATCTGGGAGTCATCCTAGACTGCTCCCTCACACCCACAATGATGAAAGTCCTTTCCATTCCATCTCTTTGATACATTGTAATATGTCCCTCCGCTCCCCCCTCATTGCTCTGCCTTAGTTCAGGTGTCCTTATTGTCTGTCAGAAATATATTAAGCAGTTTCCTCCTGATCAGGGTCTGGGCCTCCAGTCTCTGTGGCTCCGGTCTGTCCTTGATATTGTCACCAGGGTGATCCTTACAAAAGGCAATTGACGACACTCTTCAGGCCCTTTGATGGTTGGCCACTGCACAGCATGGAGACTGAGCTTACTGACTGGCACTCAAGCCCTTCTATTGTCTCATGCTCCCCTGCCTGGGTTCAGCTGTTTTCTGTTTATTTTTGGCAGGGGTGGGTGGGGTGGGTGGGTCTGACCCCTCACCTACTCCTACTTGTCTATTTAGAAAGCATTTATTCCTCTCTGGAGATTTAGCCCAAGCATCCCCTTCTCCATGAAGTCTTTTGTGAATCTTCTCTCTGCATCCTTGGTGTGCCTCATACGATTTTGAGTGCAGCACCCTACCCCCTCCTTTTGGCCTGTGCTGTCTCCCTCTATCAACTCTGGGTGCTGTGTCAGCCCCAGCCCCGCACTCCTAGGGCTCAGCAGAGTGCTGGGCACAGACAGGCAGTATCACCACCTGAGTGAGTGAGGCCCCTCCCTGTGTCTCTGGTAACTTCCCATCTTCCTCCTGCTGTGTGAATATTCCAAACCTCTGCTGAGGCCCTGGCCTCTACCTCCTACTAAATCCCCTAAGACAACCTGGCCTCCACGGTCACCACGCGAAGAACCCACCAGCCTTTAAGGAACTGCCTCAGCAAACAGCTTCACATTGCCACCCCAACCCCTTCGCTTCCTCAGGAGAGGTGACATTCTCTCCATCCTACCCAAGACCAAGCCTTGTTTACTGAAGCCTGTCTGGCTGCCACCTCAGGTGGTGGCTGCCATTCCTGACCTCTCTCCTCCCTACACTCACTAGTGACTCCTTCAGCACATAAATACATTAGAGATTTCTCCCAGTTAAAATCCTTTGTTTAGCCCACCTCAACTGCTCTTTACAATTCTATTTATTTTCTTCTTTTCATGGGGAAATTTCTTGCAAATGTGGTCATCCTCTACATATCCTTTCTTCTCTCATTCACTCTTCACCCTACCTGGCCTTTTTCCCCAGATGCCAAATGTTAAGCCATTGGAGACCACCCTGTATGTCAAACATCATGGACACTATCTGTTCTTTATTTTCTGGACTCTTTGTGGGATTTGACACTGTTACTCATCCACTCAGCACTTGAAATGCTCTTCACCTTTGACTTGTGTGTCCTCCTCTCGCTGGGATCTCCTCAGCCCCCTCTGTAGGCCCCTCCTCCTCTCCGTGCCTTTGGACCTCTGTGGCCTGCTCTTCAGGGCTCCTCACGCTCTCCCTAGGGGAAGGGACTCAGTTCCATGGCTTAAACGCCCACCTGTTCTTTAATGACACCCACATATATATTTATTACCTAGACCCTTCTCTTGAATTCGTCTCTCAGAAACCCAACTGCCAACTGGATCTCACCATTTAGATGTCTTATACTTCAAATTTTCAACAAGTTCAAATCAAATTCCTTTAGACACTAAGCTCAATGACACTGGAGAGAGAACTCAACAACAGACCCTACTTAAACACACACATTTAATATATGACAGAGGAGGCTTCCAACTCATTATACATAAATGGTATTTGGGCTATTTGAAAACTAATCAGTTTAGCTCCTTACCTTAGAGCATAAATCAAAATAAATTACACCAATAAAAAATATAATTAATACAAAAATTCAAACCATAAAACACAAGAAACAATTTTGCTGTGAGCCTAAAACTGATCTAAAAAGTAAATTCTAATTAAAAAGAAAGACACAAAATATAAGCATGTATTTATCAGATCTCTGAAGAGAGGCAAAGGATCTCTAAAGCAATGGAAGAAATAAGAAAGAAAAGAAGTTCAGAATCAACAACCTAGAAATTTAACCTCATAAACAAACACATATCTACAAATCAAATTAAAAGGCAAATATATTAGGAATGTATTTCAATAAATATGTAAAAGGTTAATCTCTTTAATTATAAAAAGTTCATACAAGTGGATAAGAAAAATACTAAGACCCCAATATTTAAATGGACAAGGAACACAAATACAAAAAAGAGGGAAATGTAAATGGTCAGCTCATGAGAAAACTGTTCAACCTCAGTGATAATCAAAGAAGTCAAAATTGAAACAAAGAGCTATCATTGCTGCCCTTCAAACGAGCACAGATGCCTGCATTTACCTCCTAGTGGGCTGTCTCCCTGCACTCTGACTCGCCCTCTTAGTCCACTCTGCACTGCAGATGTCTAAGACACAAATCACCACATGTCACTCCCCTGCCTCATATTTCTTTAAAGGCCCCACGATGATAACCAGGAGAAAGTCCCAGCAATGCCACCGGGCACCTCTGTCTTGCTGTCTGACCCCCTTTCTAGCCTCATCTCCCACCACTTCTCACACACACACCTAAGTTCCAGTCATAGGGAACCTGTGTGGTCGTTTCCAGACCTATTTCACACTTTGGTGCCTTCACCTGTGCTGATATGAGTTCTGGAAGACCAACCTTCATCCTCATCCTATTCCTTCAGGAAGCCTTCCCTGATGTTGCCAGTCTCCTTTGATGTCTTTCTTCATGTCCCCATGGCACCCTTCATTCCAGTGTCACAGCACCGAACACACGACATCATGATCACTCACATATTTGTCTTTCTCCTTCCCTGGACTAGGAGCTTCTCAGGAGAGTTTTATTCATCTGTAGAGCCCTAGCACTGTACCCAGAGCCAAGCATGTATGAATAAGTATGCAGGAGTGAGTGGATGAATGATGCATGAGCAGGGCCATGAGCAAGCTGAAGTGAGACAACTGAGAATGGGCCAGGTGAGGGTGAGTACCTTACCTCCCGAAGGGCATTCTGGGCTGCACAGCACCAAGCCTGACTCACGAGGGAGGCCCCTTTCTGATCTGACAGAGGCAGGAAGCTCAGAATATATGTGAGCATCTGAGGGAAAAAGAATGGGCATTGGGGGCTGTTAGTGCTGGTGGGGGCCTTTGGAACCTTCTCCAGCTGATAGCACAGTAGGTCAAAGGGGACTAGAGCACTGGCTTCTAGTTCATCTTGGATCCTAAGCTTCATGTGGTCTTCACTTCCCCTCTCCAGCCGCCAGGTATCTTTACTGGGAACAAACCTCTCCTGAGCACCACCTGGATGCAGGTTTGCTCTGACTGATAAAAATCAAACTTCCTGCTCAAGTTGGTAAAAAGAACCTGGGCATTGGGACCAGATAAACCTAGTTTAGATCCTTATTCTCTCAAGTGACCTTTCCGAGCCTTATTTTCCTTATCTATAAAAAGACAATTGTAGTGAGATTTAAATGGGTTGTTGTGACAATTAAGTAACATGGTGAAGTGTCTTGCATAGGATCTAGAACACAGCAAGTCAGGCGCTCCTTCTCTGATCTTCAGGACGTTACGCTGGGACTGCACTCTTTTCCCTTCTTCTTCGCTGCCAAGTAGGCTACTCAGCTGACTGTGAAGATTCTCAGCAAGAAAATCTTAACAGCCTGGTAGGCTTAGACTCTCACTCCACCTACGCTCTATGAGGCTGGGGGTGTGTGGGAGTGGAGGCCCTATTAGGGACTGGGGAAGGGAGTTGCCTGTGAGACCAGGAATTATCTGATATTAACTATTCTTTTCTTCTGGAATCTTCCCTCCTTGACTTCTGTGACGCTGTGTTTTCTAGGGCTCCACTCACCACTCCAACTGCCCTGTTTCTGGATTCTTCTGTGGCTCCCAGGGTTCACACCTGGGCCTTTCAGTCTGTTACTTTCTAGGATAATAAATTCATTTGCATGGCTTTAACAGTTACCTCTATAGGAATAACCAGCAATTCAATATGGACATATTGTTTTATCATTCATGTGCTAGTTTAGTATTGCCAACTCTCCACAGGATTCTTCATCCAAATGTTTTACCATCACCTTCTTCTCAACCTCAGTCCAAAGTAGCCCCTCCTCCCAACTTTCCAGCCCCTGAGCTTCAATGCCAACAGTGCATCTCACCTGATGATCCTGATAATACTCTGTACTCTTCATGCTCTTCTGTCCCTTGCTCTCAGATATAGGTGTAAAGCACAGGCTTTAGGCCAGGCTAACTTAGACTCATTCAAATCCCAGCTCCACAGATTCCTAGCTGTGTGACCTCAGGCAAGGTACTTGACCTCTCTGAGCCTCAGTTTCCACACCTGTAAAATGGGGATATTAAAAATCTAGATCATAGTCTTATGATGGGGATTAAATTATATACATAATTTATATATATATATATTTAATAGATATAATATGCTTCACATCTAGTAGGTTGTCCATAAATGGTTCCTGGATTGCTGTTACTAATATTTCTGCCTTTGAAAACTTACCACCTTAGTAGCACAGATCTTCATCACCCCTGCCTTCATTCCTTCCACAATTTCCCACCTGATCTCCCTGCATCCAGGCTCATCCTTGCTAATCATTCCTCACAATGCAACAAGGTTAATTTTCCTAAAACACAGCTTTCAGTCTCAGTGCACTCCTGATGAAAACCTTCAGGGTTTCCCAGTTCCCTCAAGACAAAATCTCTTCTTCTGGGTCAGCACTGCCAGGCCTCCATGCCTGACTGGACCCCTGATTCCAGAGCTTCCACAATCCAGTCTCCTCACTGTCCTACAAACACAGCATGTCTATTTCCTTATTTCCTTTTGCCTACGTGGACCTTTTCTCCAGCCCACTCTGATCTCTTCTTTCCTTCTCTGATCCCTAGTACACAGAAGGTACTCAGTCAATACTTACTGGATTGCATTAAGTAAGGATGGACAGTCTTTTACCTCTGTTTTCACCAAAGGTTTGCTCAAGGAAGGGGTGGGAAGATAAAGCAGATCATTACTGAGAGGAGAGTGACTGGGGAGAACAGCCTCTGGACCAGGGAGGCTAGGCATGGGCAAGAGAACACCGATGGGGACTGGGACTGATCATGCCCCTATCCCCAAGGGGAGGCAGGAAAACCTGACTGAGCCGAGGTAAGATAGTGGCCATCCTGTCTTCTGGGGCTCAGCAGTCAATCCAAGGAGCAAAGGGAGGGCAACAAACTGTCCTCCCTGAGGGGAGGAAGCATGATTCTTTGAGCTGAGAAGTGGGGAGGCATTTCTAGAGGGACCAGAAGAAGCAGTGATAAGGGTGGAGTGGCCACCCAACGAACCCCATCCCAAGGAGCTACTAGAGCTATGACTGGTCATCTCTGAGATCTATGGGGATGGAACAGATATCCTCCGGGGCCAAAGGGGGAAAGGATGCCATCGCAGGGGGCTCACTGGGGTTCGAGCAGGCCTGTATTTGCTAAGGGAAAGGAGCACCATTCCAAGGGCTGATGGGGAAAGGGTGGCCTGTCTCCCTTGGGCTGAGGGAGGGGGTTGCCAGCTCTCAGGGGAAAAGGGATGAAGAGACCATCCCAAGAGGCCACTGGGGACAAAACTTATCATCTCTCTCTGGATAACAGCGGCAGAGCGGTCTTGCTCCAGGCTAAGGAGAGGGAGCAAACATCCCATGGGGTGAAGGAAGCAGGGATGGCCATCACTAGGGGCCGAGGGAGCGGGGAGCAGGCCTGTCCCCGGTGAGGGAACTCAGAGACCATGCCCGAAGTTGATGGGAGGGGGCAGTCTGTTTCCCATCGCCAAGGGAAGGGGCAGCCGTCTCTCGGGGAGAAGGGAATAGAGCGACCATTCCAAGGGGCCAATGGGGATAAGATCGGTTTAACCTTCGGGGATGATGGGATGGAGCGGACATCTTCCAGAGCTGAGGGGGAGGGGCGGCCATCTCAAGAGATGCAGGGTAGGCAGAGGCCCTGTCCTCGCTGAGGTGACAGAGCGGCCATCTCTTGGGGCCGATGGGGAAGGAGAGGAGGGTCGCCCAAGGTGAGGGGACGGGGTGGCCCAAAGGCGGGGCCGTTACCCATAGCCAGCAGGTCCTTGGATCTCCCGGGCTGGTTGTTTCCGCCAGACGGGCGGGGCCAAGGTGAGCTGTCTGACAGCCGCTCCCCACAGCCTGGGACCCCGAGGGCGGGGCCTGTCCCGAGCTAGGCCTGAGGGCGGCCTCCTCTCACCTCCAGCGGCAGAGATTCAGCCATCGCATCCCTGCCGCCTCCGCCCCCGCGCAAGGCTTTCTGGGAAGTGAAGTCCTACCGACTCTGGCGGGCGGAGCTTGGGAAGGAAGTGGATTTCCCACTTCCGTCCCAGTTGCTTACGATTTGGGTCTGCACCGGAAGTGCCTGTGCAGCAGATGTGGTACCTACTGAGTGCTGTTTCGGTTGCTCTCCCATCTTTCCTCGGCTGGGTATTTGCGTCGCACCATGGCGGTAAGGAGGGCGAGTAGGGCGGGGCCCGCAAGGCAAAGCTCTCTCGGGGCCGGGAGACTGAAAACAGAGGAAGGACATCAAGGGCAGTGGGTCGGCCAGAGGGAGGTGCCATCCGGTGGCTGGACAGTACTAGATTAAGGGGGGGAGTGGAGAGGCGCAGGAACGTACCAGAGCTGGTGCCGGAGAGGGGTGGGCGTCAGTACCAGACAGTGTCAGGACTAGCTGGAGATCTGAGGGGCTTGAGGCGGGGTAGGCGTTAGCCCAGATCTGGTTTACTCTAGCAGAGGCCGGAGAGGGTCGCCATTCAAGCCCCCTCAGGGATCCCCTCTGAAGGGTTTGTCAGCCCAAAACTGGACCTTATCAGAGGATTCAGGAGATACCAGCCTAGTGTTGGATTGTTGCCAGCCCGAGCAGGAGGCGGTCATTGCTGGGTGTGCTGGAAAGATGCTGTCAGCCCTAAGCAGGATGGTTTGGAGGAGGGGTGGACATCCCAAGAATTGTGCTAGGTTTGAGCACCACGGAGACTCGGCTGAGGTGCAGATGGAACTCTGTAGCTAACCGGAATGGTGGGGAAGATAAGGAAGACCCTGGCTGATGAGCGTTCTGACAGCATCTCGTCATCTCTCTGCAGCCCAAGGGCAAAGTGGGCACGAGAGGGAAGAAGCAGATATTTGAGGAGAACAAAGAGACCTTGAAGTTCTACCTGCGAATCATACTGGGGGCCAATGTAAGTGCCTCCCTCCTTGCTTCTGTGCCCACCCAGTGTTCCATAGCCCTCAGCTCTGTTTGGTGGGGTGGAGTGGTGGCAGTGTATGACAGCTAAAGCTCCAGAAGAAAACTCCAACTAAAAGTAAATGAGAAAGGATCCTGGCACAGAGAAAGTGCTGAATAGTCAAAAAACCAAAAACAAAATGAGGGTGTGAGTCTCAGATTGACTGGAGAGCCCTTCCCATCCTAAATACACAGGGGCTTCTTTCCTGGGCTGAAATGTCAGAGGGGAGTCTGGGTATTCAGGAAGCAGACCTCTTCCCCCAACCGTATAAGAAACGACTTGTCTTCTTTCATCACCTGGCCTAATATCTTGGTCAGAGTTGAGGGAGGTCCATGGTTTAGTAAGCTTTTTAGATTTCTTTTTCATTAAAAATTAAAATTTTTATTATTTATTTATTTATTTATGGCTGCATTGGGTCCTTGTTGCTGTGCATGGGCTTTCTCTAGTTGCGGCGAGTGGGGGCTACTCTTCGTTGCAGTGCGCGGGCTTCTCATTGCGGTGGCTCCTCTTGTGGAGCACGGGCTCTAGGCACGTGGGCTTCAGTAGTTGTGGTGTATGGGCCTAGTTGCTCCACAGCATGTGGGATCCTCCCGGACCAGGGATCGAACCAGTGTCCCCTGCATTGGCAGGCGGATTCCTAACTGCCGCGCCACCAGGGAAGCCCCTAGTAAGCTTTTGATCACAGCCTGATCATGTGTCTGCTTACAGGCCATTTACTGTCTTGTCACCCTGGTCTTCTTCTACTCATCTGCCTCATTTTGGGCCTGGGTAAGTGTCCTGCATCCTGGGAAGTGGGTAAGCACATAGGGTCAGTGGCTGGCCTTTGATACCCCCATTCTTGTTCGGCAGATGGCCCTGGGCTTTAGTCTGGCAGTATATGGGGCCAGCTACCACTCTATGAGCTCGATGGCAAGGGCAGCCTTCTCTGAGGATGGGGCCCTGATGGATGGTGGAATGGATCTCAACATGGAGCAGGGCATGGCAGAGTGAGTGTCCCCCGCTGTCAGCCCAGGTGAGCGGCGCCAGGGCTGGGGTACTGGGGCCCAAGACCCACAGCTACCTGTGACTTGAAGAGGGTGGAAGGGAGTTGAACTAGGGCCCATCTATTATTTTTATTTTATTGTTTTTGCGGTACGCGGGTCTCTCACTGTTGTGGCCTCTCCCATTGCGGAGCACAGGCTCCGGATGCGCAGG